GCAGCAGATTTCCTGGACACTGTTGAACGGTTAGGAAATACCTCAACAGCTTTCGATTACTTTATTTCCAACATTTCTGCAGTTATGATCCTCAACGGAATGTTTGGGTCGGTATGGCACCCATGGTTACTCCGCGGAAGGGGCATTCTCTATCCGTCCTTGATGGGTGTCTATATGCCATCGGAGGATATAATGGACGATGTTGTTCGAACACTGTCGAAAGGTAAGTTGATGCTTATTGTGGCACTTCAGTTTCATTGGATTAACGTTCGTGGTGCAGCTACGGTTTCCGGAGGAATTTTCCAAAAAACGGTATGAAAAGAAAGTTGGCTTGTCGACTTGAGAGCAACCATCATTCTGGAATTCAGAGAAGCAAGTAAAATGAATGTTAAGCATGCCTATACCATTCCACCTTTCAGGTTTAATCCACGTACGGGAAGATGGGAGTTTGTCAGCTCGATGTTGACATGTCGAAATGATCTGGGATCCGCAGTTCTAGATGGCCACTTATACGCAGCAGGTGGAGAAGACTGGTCACATTGCGAATTAAAATCGGTTGAGAAATACAATCCCCTTACCAACGAGTGGACCGCAGTGGCTAAGATGAACGAGGAGCGATCTGGTGTGAGTCTACGCTCAGTATTTCTTATGGATCACTTCTTTTGTATAAATGTGAGCAGAATCAATAAGATTTTATTCGTAGGTGAGGCTTGCCGTTGCTAATGGAAAGCTGTACGCTGTGGGTGGGGATAAGACATCCGAAAAGGATTCTATTGAAATTTTCGATCCTGAGAAAGATCACTGGACATTCCTTGGTTACCTTAATGACAGGTCAGTTGTCATTGGAGCTCTTATTTTCATGATTTTCATGTTTTTTCAGCCCTTTTCGAATTCCTAAGTTTCCAACATAGGTCAATAGTATGCTTCCAGACGACTTGGAGCAGGAGTTGGAGTCATACGAATACTAGCCTAATGGCGACGGTACCTGGATGGAAGTCAATGAATGCCCGTCTTCTTTCGTCTCCATCTTGCATCTCACTAGCACTTCCTACTTCTGGAATTGAGACGTTCTTTGTTGTAATACTTCTTTTGGTAATTAGGTGAAAATTTTTTGCATGTTTTTTTAGATTCCGCTGATTTTTCCACATTTTTTGAGTAGGGCTGAGCAGACGAATTTCACATAATATTTTGAGATGGGGAATTACACTTTTCGCTCCTCTTCGAGGTAGTCTATATGGCACGAAAGGACGCACCAGTGTAGAGAACGCGATTTTCCCCAATGGTACATTTATGTGATCAACGTAGAATAAGCCCTTAACTAGCAGGGACGTTATTGTGAAAGTGGACAAATGCTTAAATGTAGGCATCGAACCATCAGATGTTTAAGGTGGAATGGCAGAAGACAATTTACAGGGAGAGGGGGCAACTTCAAAAACACTTCTTCCTCGACTTTCAAAGCGCTATAAGTAACCGTCTATCGAATTCTGATCAGACATCTTATTCAACGACACGTTAAACACTATCGCAATATTCCGCCACAGCCTTCTAGACGAGCGCCATCGAGAGATTCTGCCACGCGAAAGTGATTCGGTACCTGAGTTCAGCGAGGTCGTTGATTTCTCCGCCACTGTAGACCACCCTGTTGAGCTTCTCCGGACCCGGTAATCGAGGGGGTTTAGGTCAGGTGACACACATGGGTATTTCGTCTTCTTCAGGTGCTCAACGCCCTTCGGGTTCAAGAAGTCGACGTTTCTCGGTCCTATGTGCTGGTCATGCGATCCCGTAGCTTCCCAAGATGGTACAGGCGACGACATGGGGGCAGGACATTGTCCTCGAGGTGTTCGTTGTAACCGTCAGCGTCCACTTTCAGTCCGGGGTTCACGAAAATCATATCGGTCTTCCCCTTCCGGAACTTCCGATCCATGTCATCAGCACGACCTGGCCCTTGCAGAATGATGATGTCCTGGACCACGGCGACGTTGTCGGAGCTGCTTGATGTTGGAGGTCTTCCAGATCAAGAGTGCTGGTCCCCAGGTAGCTGTCCATGGGTGACTCCATACAAGAAGTTTCGCAGCTGTTTGGAGGGGCGTGAATTCCGAAGGGCTTTTTCAGTTTGGCTGCGAGTGCAGATGGCTTCATATTTTGGTGTACATGAAGGTGATGGGCGAGGGCCTGCTCCTGCTTATCGAGGAACATCTTGGGTATCTTCCGCCCTGGTACTCGTATCCACGTCTTCTGTCTGGGCTGCGAAAACTTTACTGATATGTGACTCGGCCAAAGTGTCTTTTTTCATTGCCCCCCCCCTGTATACCTGTCTGAACGGGAAAATTGGAAAGGTCAACAATACCGATTTAGGTATCCTACAGCGATGTAGCTCCCTGTTCACAATGATAGATCGAAGTCGCTTCCCTTCAATTCCTGTGTTTTTCTTTGTCGTAAAGGAGTTCGACCACACACTACCACAGCAGCAATCGAAGCAATCGATTTTGTGATCTGCGAATACCCGGCTGTATGGATGTGACGCCGCTAGTCGTTCCCGCAATATCTTATTCTTTTCTTCACTTTCTTTTCTTTTTCTTCCTCCTCCATGTCTTTCAATGCGTTTCTCCACCCTAGTTTACCAAACTGCAGCGCCAGTACTCACCGTAAAATTCTCTCAAGATCTCAGTCACCTGTTCGAGGGGATATCACGCATCACAAGGTTTGAGTAATTGATTTTTCCCGTTGCAACACTATACAACACCCTTCACAAAAAAATCAGTCCTAAACGTGTGAACCCTCCCACCTCGCGACTCACTGCCGACATCGGCTTTTCGGCTCATCAAGGCGCGGAAGTGAGGCTGGAGCGTAGGGAAGGTGGGTGTTGTTTGAATCATCACTGAATGTCCACAATGTGCGGCGTGTGCGATGTTGAAGTCTGGCAGCGAAGAGAAAGAATGGCAAGACTATAGTGCGAAGTGTGGAGAATACTGCTTTGTAGCCAAAGAAGAAAAGCGTCGACAAAAAGCTGATTTGGCTACGGTTTGGGCATACTTCACTGCGTAATGGCGGCGGTGTCGGCGTGTTGCGTGGCGTATGAATTTCCCGAATGGCATTGAGCGTATTACTCATCTCTTGTACCTGCATTTCTCGCGGCACTTTTCGCAGCTAAAAAAGGCATATGCTCACGGTTTGTAACGCGACTGCAGCCTTTGCACCCATGACAGGCATCGCACGGCGAATTTGGTTGAAATCAGAGGTAAGGAGCGGCCGCTGGTGACTTCAATGGATAGCGCACGGTCGCCCCGGAAACGTAATATGAAGGTTCGAGCCCAGCCCGGGGTCATGACATTTGCTCAGCACTTAAGAAGCGCAGCGGCGGCTTTCAGCCGCAGTCATCACAATGAGCAGATATGAGTGATACTTTTGGGATTTTGAAAATGCTCCCCTCAATTCAGGTGGAATTCTCTTTTCCCCATGACTTGCGCGTGGGACGGCACATTTTTCTTCAATGAAACTTAGTAACTCCCAAATAAATGAATCACTACGATTCAAGTGTACCAATAAATGCAACAGACGAGCATACGAATTCCAATCTTTGACGTAATTTAGCTTTTATTGCTTCGGTTCTTCCAAATCAATCACTTTTTTACCAACTTCTTCCTCTGTATGCTGTTTCGACTGAAAGTACATTTCCCGGGGTAGTTTGACCTCCTAACATCCCCTTGGCTCGAAATTGTGTGTTCTTGAACAGATCTTATGAAAAGAAAATTAATCAGTCGCGCAGATTTTGAGTTATTTGAATAATAACTGTCGGACAGCATTGGGTGACGCCGTCCCACAAGACAAACTAGCTGTCGTCCACCATTGATGGAAATACTCGTCAACGCGTTGAGCGGATATGATATTCGTGTACAGGGGGTCGAATTAGCCTAGGAGACAAAATTTCAGCGAATTCGATCACGTAGGACATTTTGGCGCCGGCGCCTATGGCGCGGACACCAGGCGGTTTCGTGGCAAGCGAATGTGATATTCGTGTTCACGGGTCAAGCTGCCCAGGAGACAAGTTTTCAGCGAATTTGGTGATTTATGGTACTTTGGCGCCGGCGCTTGTGGCGTGGGCGTAGGCAGTTCGCGCCGAGCTACTGTGGTATTCGTTTCAGAGGGACAGGCTACTCCTACGGATAAGTTACCAGCGGACTCGGCTGTTAGTACATCTTTATTATTAGAACAATAGTGACAGCCACCATTGTGTGCCATCGTCGTCAAGGTATGAAGTGTTGTACTTCTGTTCCAAAGTAACCGCAGATCCAGTCATTTATTACTACTGAGAATTTTAATATATTCATAGGATTTCCTTTCCTTTTCATGCTTTTCACTGACTCCATCTTGTGAGGTAATCAGATGAAAATCCATCAGCTTCTTGTATGGGATGGCATCACGCCGAACGCCTTTAAGTGTTTGTTGCTTAGGCATGGTGATTCATTTGTTTGGTGTGCACTGAAAAGTGGCCTATAAGGTTCTTGCCATTACTGTTATTCCAATGTTTAACCCCGCTGCGACACGGAATGTCTCTTAATAGATTTATTTCACATGGTTCGTTCCAACTCTTGCAGGTGCTCTGAGGAGAACTTACAAAGATCAATGCCGAGAATAGTCCTGTTCTTGGGATTTCGTTCAGACCTCTCAGCTGGTACAATTCTTCCAGATAAGCCACGCCATCCTACTTCAAAGCTTACAGGTGCGAAATCTCACGTGAACGCTTTGATACATCTTTTTTTCTCATCCTTCAAATTTTCACCAATTTTGATCATTGCCAGTGAAGTTTAGCACATAGACGTCTCTTGAACGCCCAGCGTTTCAACAGTTCTAGACAGGATACCAAATTCTAAGAAAGAATGCTATCTTGGTTAATCCCGACCCCTTGTGCGAGGTGAATCGGTCTCACTCCCGGTGAGGTTGCTGCAGTAGCGTCTCACTTTTTCCGCTCAAAAGTGCGTTGGAACGAGGCGATTGGATAGTTGTCGTGCGTACACCATGACTGCAACTGCCACGTACACATCTAGGGATTTCCCAAATAAGAAAGCGAACGCGACAAAACGAAACAATCTTTATATAGCAATCGAAGGTCCACAACAAATCAACCACGACTGAGCGAATAAGGGAGGCGAAGGAAAGGACTGGGCCCAGGGGAAGGCTTTATTTTGGCGCACTCGCGCAGGAAGGAGGTTGTTTCGAGATTAATGTGACGAAATTCAATCGACGCTTGCTGGTATTTTTAGCGCGATTTCCCACCACCAGGCTGCTAAGACCAGAGGGAGGTCGTGAGCGGTCGCAACTGTAGTGATAGT